CTGCAGACGATATCTGCTCGGGAGCTAATGGATGATGTATTTTAGAACGGTGACGGAAAGCTCAACTTTAAGTTCAGGTTTTCGAAGATTGAATATTGCGTGTCACGTATACGAGGTAGAGTCATGCAGTGCAGTTATATTAGAAGTATATTTGTAACACGAATGGGTCGGCTCGACCGGGGAAGGACCACGCTCTCACAGGATACCAGCATGAAACAGTAGTTTTATGCTGCTGTGTTTCGTATGGTGAGTGTAGGGAACCAGAGAACCTTTTTACTGAAAATGAGGCATTCCATCTTAGTCCTCATGGGTGACAACGCATCTGCATTTTGATTCTTAATCGAGAATAGATGTAGATGTCTATGGGCGACAACAACCACTTACCATCAGGTGGACTGTGTGCTCGTTTGTCATCCTATCCTATAATAAATAATAATAGTAATCAAATCACATGGAGTGGTCACCAATTTAGCCGTTAAAGGAAAACGGAAGATCTCCTGCCGGACAAGGCCAGCCCGAGGAGCGGCCAATGCTCCGTGTGGTAGTACAGAGCTGTTGTAGAACAGCTCAGTACTTCGGAACTTTGATAGCGTGATTTAGGCTTTAGTGCGTTTCGCTTGTGGCGTGGCGACGGTGCCGCAGTGAGTGTAAAGAACCGGAGAACTCTTTTAGTGGTAAACCTAGTCCTAAAAGGGTGACAACGCATTTTGATTGTTATTTTGATATGTGTCTATGATTCACAGCATCCACTTACTATCAGAGGGACTGTATGTATCTATATATGATTTTTTTAAGTATGTATTTATTTCCAAACATATAATTTTTGCAAAAAATATAATTTCCAACTGGCAACCCTCGCTATCCACTATCTGTTCCCATTACACGATTATAAACTGCAACAGAAAGTTAATCGTCACTCTCTTTATTACTTTTAATTACTTAAATCGTAACCATAGAATTAAGATACGTTTTAATTTACAAACGCATCCTTTGTTCAAATTCACAGCAGTGTGAAAGATAAAATAACAGTCGTAAATTGCGTAGATAGTGCGATCGCTTAGCACAAATATGTGGCACACGATATACCTGAAGAGTAACGGACGCGAACATGTGAAATCATCATCATTTATGAAAAGAGATATTTGGATTTACTCAGTCCTATTACAAAACGTGGTTTAAGTATTGATAGTTTTGGGTTGAAAGATGTGTCTTTGTCATGAAAGAAGTTTATGCCAACCAAGGCGCCACCATTGAAGTAATGTGTGTGTAAATTAGCATGCGGCCCTCCCGATGGTAAGTGACTACCACCGCCCATGAACAACCGCAACACCTGGGGAATTGCAGGTGCGTTGCCGGCCTTTTAGAAAGGAGTAAGCTCTTTTCTTGAAGGTACCTAGTTCTTATCGGTCCGGAAGAGTCGCCGGTGGTAAACTATTCCACAGAGAAGTTGTACGAAGAAGAAAACTCGTAGTAAAACATACACTAAGTACTAGGATACGAATAAAATCTGTACAGCAGTGCGGGGCGCGTGAAAAACGGCACAGAGTATATTTTTAAGGGCACGTACTAAGTCATTTTTAACCTGCGGGTTCTGACGCGTGTTATAAACAACCAAATCTTGGCTTTTCTAGTACTTAACACGTGGTAGAGCCACTCTGCAGCTATATAATGGTTGTAACACAAACGGGTCTCTCCACCGGGGAACGACCACAGTCTCATCTAACAACAGCGTAAAATAGCAGCTTAGTCGTCCGGCGTGATAACGCATCTGCATTTTGATTCTTAATCGAGCATAAATGTAGATGTCTATGAGCAACAGCATCCACTCACCGTCAGGTGGACTGTGTGCCCGTTTGTTACCCTTATTCTATAAAAAAACTTAGTACATATTATTTCAAAGGCACCTCAGTCTAAATCAAAAACCATATCTACTTTATATTTCAGATCGAATATTTTTCAAAAATAAATTGGACTCTTTACTCTATTGAGAAAGTCAGAATGTGTCAAAAAAGCATGAATGGCAATTCACAATGCTGTGTTAGTTGCTACCTTCATATATAGTAGTGAAAGTTGGGTGTGGCAGAAGGAGCACGGGAGTAGAATAATTGTAGCAGAAATGCGTTCATTAAAGAGTATGTTAGAGATGACTCTGAATGACATGGTGAGAAATTGCATAATTAGAGAAAAGTGTGTTTTGCAAAGAGACGTAACCAGGATTAAGAAAGGATTGTTTTGGTCATGTAGAAAGAATAAATGAGGATAGAGTAAACATTGCACAAACACAGACATTGATGCTAGTTTAATTTTTTAAAGAATTGATACCAGATACCTAAAACCTAAATTATATACCTAATATATTCCGTGCGCTTCTCGATTGTATCACTTTGGTAGGCGATGGTTCATTTTAAAACAACCAAATCGTCGACTGGCGCTTTGCTTCTGGATCATACGAGTATTGATATACGTCGAGACGACGAGTCAGCTTCAAAATGCAACTCAACTCATCAACTATAGACCTATTTCTATGTTACCCTTTTGTATCAAAACTTCTTGAATCTATAGTTCACCAACAATTGTCTGCTTTTATTTGTAAAAATCACTAGCTGTCTCATTTTTATTCTGGATTTCGACCTGGACACAGCACGACCACTGCACTTCTCAAAGTCACAGAGGACATTCGAAATGGCATGTAGAATCAAAAAGTCACAGTACTTGTATTGGTTGATTTTACAAATGCGTTATACATGGCTGACCATGATATCCTTGCCTTGCTTCAAAATCTCAAATGTTCCTCCACTGCTGTAGACTGGTTTAGTAAGCTGTCATTAATGGCCGTGGCATATCTGACTCGTGTCAACTCTCCACTGGCGTGCCAGGTAGAATAGGTAGAATATTATCTCCACTTTTGTTCTCCATTTTTACTATCTTTACGCTGATGACTTGCAAATATATACTGAAGCAGACATTAACTCTTTATGTGACGCTATTGCCAAATTCAATATGGATACAAAAAATCTCCACAATTGGTCTCTTAAGTTTGGTATTTAGTGTGAATAAATGCCCAATAAATGCCAAGCTAATAATTGGTAGTGCTCAACAATTGTGTAAGCTTGACCTCAATTACATTCCGCCTGTCACGGTTGATAATTTTAATCAATATATAATAATAATAAAATAATTGATAATTTGACAACGTTAAAAATCTAGGTGTCTAATAGGACACAACCTTATGTTGGTCCACTCAAATTCAGAATATCTATGGTTCTGTTTTCTCAAAACTCAGTGCTTTGAACGATCTTAGGAACTATTTTTCGGTCAAGGTAAAGATAACTCTAGTGCAATCTCTTATTCGGCCCATTATTGACTATGCTTATTTATGTTTTCCTGATTTTAATGAGGTTTTCCTTGATAAGCTGGATCGTCTCAATAACTATATCTATGGTCAGCGCCCAATTTAAGTATCTAGGCGTGAGTGTTTATACATACGTGTGTGTTATTTTAACTTATTTTAAATTTTCGAAGTAACGTAGCACTTGCTGTCAAAGCGCGTCAAAAATTTTCAAAGTGCTGATCTAAAAGTTATTCCGTGCTATCTTTAATTTTTGATCTGAACTAGAAAGATTTATATTCATCTGCTTAGTTTATTTTTACTATGATTATGATACAATATCATATGAAAAATCGAAAAAGTCAGAGAGCTCATGAGGGAACGTATTTAGGATGCAGAATATTTCTCAAACGCATGTCATAAGGCCCGAATTCGAGAAGACGTTTTCATTAATCGATATTGAACAAATTGAAGGTGCCGAAGATTTCTAAAACATTTTCATATGGGATGATCTGGTTGTGCAAAATTCTACAAATCGTTTGCTAGCTAACACCTGACTAAGGTGAAAAAAAGAGGTGATCACATTGCGTGTTGTGTGTCACTGTGATGGGTTCTTGCATATTATGTATCAACTGCGTTACTGATCTGGGAATTTCACCAGTCGTTAACTCGCTTGCGTGGATTATCTGCATGTAGAAAAATCTACCGAGTTATCGACTAATGAATCAATTTTGCCGAATTGCCAGCAATATTCGCTTTTACAACAAAATCCCAGAAAATATACAAAATTTGACGTGCACAAACTTTAAAAACTTTTTTAAACTAAGTTAGTATAAAAAGGGTTATTGTAATATTGAGGAATTTATGGATGATAATAACCCCTGGGGAGGATGATCGCCACCAAGCTATTTCTAATTTGTTATGTATTGTTAATTGTAACCAACATGATTGTAAGCTGTTACTTAAAAAAATTGTTCCGCTGGGTTTTTTGTTGGTTCTCTCTCTCGTTTTCTCTAATGGTAAATTAAAAAAGTGGCTTTCAGTAAGTATTATTTATAATCTATTTTGAATAAAAATGTTTCTGTTTCTGTTTTTAATAATGCTTTTCATCAATTTTAATAGGTAATACTCCTTTCTATCTAGTAGTCCGTCTTATTTGGTACCTCTCGTATCTAATTCTACAGCCTAGCAACAGCAACAGCACCACTGCTTTGTTCCGGGTTGGTTGTTAAGAGATCCTATACATTAATAGACTCTAAAGAATTTCAATCAAGTCCTCAATAATACAGTTGCGTTAAGTTCTATCTCAACGCAACTGTAACCTTCTCTTTAAAAGGTATCCACAGTCTGTAGCATTTAATCCAACTGACAATCTATAAAAAATGTAGCCAAAAGAACACCTTCTCAAATGGACAACCACAACCATATCATTTCAACTTGAATTCTTTTCACTTCATTCAATTCATTGAGATGTGGACTCTTACTCAGCGCTGCTAAGTTTTAAATGAAATTTCAACAGGGAATTTAAAATAGATTAGATTCCCTTGTAGTCCTTATTTGATAAGATCATGTTTTTGCGAACCGGTGAATATTATGTATTTTTATTTAAAGTTTATAATATGAGCCTAATTTGAATAAAAAGTATTGACTTAAAGAAAAACTCAACACCTACCTCCAAGTGATGGTTCTCAGCTGCGTCATTGATTGGACTTTTGCCGTGTCTATCGAGGTGAAGCCTGGCTCCATGACGAAGCAGCCAGCGCACTGTGGATAAGTGGCCCCTGGACGCTGCAAAGTGAAGTGGTGTCGCACCATCTCCATCTCTCGCATTGGGATCTATGCCTCGTTCGACAATCTAGAACAAAATTAGGTATTTTTATAACACTGAAACTGTTTTAACATACTTATAGTAAATTAATTATATATGTATATTCTACATTTGAGTATAGACAAGTTAAAGAAACACTTTAATCATTTAGCATAGCGTAAACACTCACGCCTGTCACCCAGTGGGGTAGGCAGAGACCACGGACTTCCATATGACACGATCCTGACATACCTCTTTCGCCTCCTTTACATCCATATATATACGCATACATGCTCGTCGGTTAAGGTTACTTTTAACGTGGCCCATTTTCAAAATATCGCCAATTTGGTCGATAAATTTTTTTCTAGGGCGTCCCTTCCCGACTCTGCCGTTCACATCTGCCATATAAATTTGTTTTGTCACTCTTTCCTCATCATCCCACCACAACGTATTCCTTTTCCTTTCATTTGTTCTCTTACTTACACCACATACTTCGGTGGCTGCATCCACCAAACCTTTCTTAATATTATCCCACACAGTATTCAAGTCTAAATCATTCATACAAAACTCATTCAAACACCTAATATTTTCTCTCAATCTACATTTATACTTCTCTTTCACATCTTCATCTTGTAACTTCTCTATTCTTATACGCTGTAACGCAGTGGTAGACACAGATGTCCGATGCCACCAACGCTTGAAAAGACCATTAATTCGACATAAGACCAAGTAATGATCCGTCCCTACGTTGGACCGGGGGTAAACCCTTGTATCTACGACTGCGCTCCTCAATTTTTCATCCACAATTACGAAATCTATCATGCTTCTATCATCACCTCTTTCCCATGTATACATGTGAATCTTCTTATGACGAAAAAAGTATTCGTCACAAAGAGATTTTTTTGCAACACATACGGTGAGGAGGTCTTCACCATTCTCATTTATACTTTCATCAGCAAACGTTCCCAATATCCTTTTATAACCAGACCTCTTCACCCCAAGCCTTCCATTAAAGTCTCCTAACATAATAATATTTTCATTTCCCTTACATTTTGTAAACACCATCCTTACCATGTCCCAAAACTGCTCTCGGATGTAAGTGGGCTTAGACATGTCTGGGGCGTACACCCCTAGCAAGAACAGCTTCTTTAAGCCCACTTTCATTCGTATCCATAGCAGCCTCGGGCTTACACATTCATACTCTTTCACACATTGACCCATTCTTTCTGAAAGGATGAAACCGACTCCCTGGCATGCCCGTTCGGTCTCGTCTACACCAGACCAATACGTGGTATACGTGCCATGTGCAGTGGCATCCTTTCCCTTTCGTTTCGTCTCATTTACACATAACACATCTATTCCTCTGTCATTCATCATTTCGCATACTTCATCCATCTTATCATTCATTGCTCCACATACATTCAGCGTAGCTAGACGGGCTTTCGCAATCCACTTTTCGCCCCTCCGGGAGACAGAACGTGACGGGTGGCGAACCTCGTCGCCGTTTAATCATTTCCATAGTAAATTAAAATGATTGAATTTATACGTTCCACTGCTATAAATATAAAGCAAAAAAGTATACACCACGCTGTCCCATTGCGTATAAACGAACTTCACATATCTTCGAAATATTTTTCATATTTCTGAGACATATGGGTATCGGTTACGGTAACGGATTTTCCTACACTGCCGAATACGTGGTAAATCAGCAGACACAGCGTGTTTAATTTACATCGTTTCACAAACTTGCTATCCTACACTTGTCTGCTATCTTATCATCATCATAATTACAGTCCATTAAAGTCCACTGCTGAATATAGGACACCCCAAAGATTTATTCATTGCCACGCTTGGCAAGTGGGTTGGCAACCGTACTTTTTATTTTCTAGTTGCTATTAGAAAGACGCCGCTGCTGACAATCACGAGACGTTATAATATATCTAGTGTACATTCTTACTGCCACTGCAGTGTATCCGTCAGAAGATATTTCCTTTCTCTTTCTAATTTCAAAGCTGTTCCCGTCAATAAATAATTTTTACCATGATGGTTTCTAGTAACATTAGTTCGAAGAATTAACGATGGGAATAAATATCTTGCAGTCATCTTAGTTTTCTCTCCAATTGTGTATCAATGTTTATAAGACTATTGATCATAGAATGAATTTTATTTGCGGGCATTAACTCGAACAACTACCATAAACAATGGACTTTCTAACGAAAGTCTTAGTTGAGACGGTTTTAAATGATTCGCTTGTTTTCTTAATATCTATAGACTATATTTTATATTGAGATCTAAAAATAATATATAGTTTATAGATATAGATGAAGTGATCGTTACCACGCTGTTTCTAGTTGGTTTTATATTTAATTGTACGACATATTGTATCACAAACTAACTTTTACCCGGGACAATTCATGCGGGTAAAACTTAAAAATAATCTGCAGATACATAAGCACTTACACCTGTCACGCAGAGGTAGGCAGAGACTACAGACTTCCATTTGGCACGATCCTCCTGACAAACCTCTCTCGCCTCCTTCACATCCATATGTCTACACATACATGCTCGTCGGTTAAGGGTAATCTTAATTTGGCCCATTTTCAATATATTGCCAATTTGGTCGACAAACTTTCGCCTAGGGCGACCGACTCTTCCGTTCACTTCTGCAACATTAATTTGCTTTGTCACTCTTTCCTCATTAATTCTTTCTACATGACCAAACTACCGAAGCATTCCTTTCTTAATCTTGGTCACAACATCATCTTGCATACCACACTCTTCTCTTATCACACTTATCACACAATTTCTCACCCTGTCACTTAGTCAGTCAGTCCTAACATACTACATCTGCAGATCTACGAGTATAATAGTAGTCTTTAGTGGTAAGTAGTTCAATTATGTAAAGTGTTAAAGTGAAAAAAAATTTGTAATTGTATATGTTTTAAAACTTTAAGAGATAGAAGATTAGTTCTTAATTTAGACATTTTTAAGAAGACGGGATAGGAGCAAACCTGCTTGCGGCTCACCTGATGGTAAACGAAAACAGTTGTCCATGAACCACTAAGGGAATTATAGGTGCGTTGCCGGCCTTTTAAAATTAATTAGGGGAGATCTTGAAGGCCCCTTAAGACATATCGGTCGAGTAAAAGTGTGACATGTTAGGAAGATCCAAAAGTTATTTATTTATTCTATTATTGTTTATTCGAGTTAAAAAATACTCCTTTTTTTCGGATAAAATATAGTCTAGATCACTCTTGGAATTGCTCCACTTCATCACAATCGGTTCAACCACTCCGATGATTAGCACTTACATGCTTACAAATAACCTCTTGAACGGACAACCGATGGGGAAGAAAGCTTCTAGAGTCGCAGTCCGCGTCTTGGCAAGCGTGGAGGTCAGGACGGCTCCCTATAATATGGAGTGACAACTTGGTCGATGGATGCAGGTGGCTCAGGACAGTGCTTTATGGCAATACTTGGGGAAGGCCTAAGTTTAGCAGTGGACTTGTGAATAACTCTAATGGTAATGATGATGATGATGATGATATAATTCTGTCTTCTTCTTATTCAACATCCTGTTATAGTCTCCTGCTGTACATTATAGCAGGAATTTGCTCTCATTGCTACGCTTAGCAAGCGTATTTATCAGGTATTGCAGTATGAGACGTCTCGCATCTTTAATGCCATTCCTTATCAGTTCATCACCAGTCTGAATATTTGATTATGATCTGTTATAAAAGAGACGATTCTACCGCCATCTATTGGAGGTTATAAGATTTTCCTTTTTCTATAGATGCTTGACTTTTACGACACCCACGAAATGAAATGCGGTGATGAATTATCTTACACGGCGCGACAAGGCATATTAAATCGTTTTGCTTCGCGGTTTGTTTTATGTACAGGCAAATGAGCACACGGCTCACCGTATGGTAAGTAATCCGTCTTCTATGAACAACTGCAACACCTAGGATAATTGAAGGTGAGTTTTCCCGGCCTTTTAGAAAGGAGTAGGCTTCTTTTTTGAAGGTCCCTAAGTCGTATCGGTCCGTAAAGCCCGCTGGCGACAGTAACTTTCAAAATACATACATTATATTAGTCTCAGATCATATAAACAACAGGAGATATGGCAAGGAGGCGTGGCACTTGCGAACGCATCTGGCCGCAAAGCGGCCTGATGCCAGTTTCGGTAATTAGTCGAATGTCAACTTGTGACGTCTTCACTGCTCGTGATTTTTGACAAAATGCCGCGTTGTTCAGTGATTGTTTGCAAAAATAACAGCTGTATTGTGAATTACATGAAAGATGGCATCTCATTTCACACGTAAGTACTAAAATATTAATGTTTTTCTTATTCAATTTATTAAAACATTACTTCGTGGTACTAGAAACACGATGAAATACCAAATCAAATGTTTTCATTAGGAACAAAAACCATTGCTTGCTTAGTACAAATCGACCTGTGAATAAGCTGGTCTAATAAGGCAATGGATAAGTGTTTTACTGATACTCTCACTCATACGATAGTTTCGTGAAGCAGCCGCTGCCGGCTTTTGTAAGTGAATGATAGCGACAGATGTTTTTGTGTGAATAAGTTTTGTACGGTGCATGGTAAATGCACGCTGCGTATGATGAGATAAGGTTTATAATTGGTTGTGTAGTATGTTCTGATTTATAAAATGCGAGTGTGTGCGCGATTGTGTATCTATTGCTTTTACTGATGTGCATATGTAGTAGTTGGCGCGTGGTAGGGGCCAACTGGAGACACCGGGTTCCGATACATTTTCAACTACTGAGCATATCTCCTTATTTCTTATATCTATGGTAATAGTGGATCGCCAGCCATCGAGATAATAAATAATAAATGATTTCCTATAGAAATTTATACTATGTAATTTAATTATTCAAGAATAAATGGCAATATAACCAATTCGAAAGGGCTTAATGCTCTTTAATATACAATGCTGGCCGACATTTTGTACTTAATATGTTGATATTCTGGTTTTGTGTAACTTCAAAAAAACTTTCACCAAAAATATTTTTAACCATTTTGTACATATTAACATTCCTTTTTTACTTAAATGATATAGCTTAAGGGCTCGTCCTCGCCGTGAATTTCACAGTATCGCTAGTGTAGCCGGAAAGTGTAAAATGTGAGTGTGAAGAGGGTTTGTGTAAAATTGTAAACCAAAAAAAGTTTTGTATATTTTTTTCTCTTTGGATCATTTTGGCATTGCTCGTCATCATCACAATAGGTCCAACCATTCCAAAGATTAACCCGGTACGGAGTCGGGTTATTTACTATAATGCAAAGCACTGATTGACCACGTGTTCGGCGGTAAAGGAAAATATGTACCATGAGGAAATTCATTAAAACGACTTTTGTCGAACAGGGGATGTACAAGGCCGTGGATGTGATGTGAATAAAAAAAGGGACCATTCAAAATATATCATAATATTTTACTCCTTTATTCGGACGTAACGTTGACAAACGAGCGCACATACCTGATGGTAGGTGAAAGTTGTGGCACAAAAACACCTATTTTGTCTTCAAGTAAAAATCGAAATGCAGATATGTTATCACCCCGGAGGACTATGTTGGAATGTTTTTTCTAGTAGTACAAAAGAACTTAGGTTCTCTATACTCACCATACGAAACACAGCAGCGTAATGCTGCTTTTTCACGCTGGCGTCCACACAGACGAGTGTGCTCCTTTCCACGGTCTTTCCCATGGTCAAGCTGACCTATACGTGCTGCTGCCATACTACAGCTCTATAACGTGTATAGACCACGTGTTCATCAACGTGGTAGAGCCACGCCTCGACGTCTACTTGCAGCACGAGTGGTTCGATCGGGGAAGGATCACAGAATACCAGCGAAAAAAATATGCGTTTCGTATGGTGATCTCGTACGGGTAAAATGTTTGTATAGCATTTAAATAATTGTTCCGGATCTGTTTGCGCGTCCAAAACAAAGAAGAGAGAAAAGAAAGTCCTAGTGTATTTTTTTCAATTAAGGAAAAGGAGGATATCGAAGATCCTCCTTAATGGTAGCGAGACATTCCATCTCAGTCTTCAGAGGTGACAATGCATCTACGAGTACATTATAATATTTGATCGAGGATGTATGTGTCTATGGGCTTACAGTTGCACTATGTGCTTGTTTGTTACCCTGACTTGTACATATGAATAATTTATTTAACTTTAGGAACAACATAATAAATGACTTAATAATGAAAGTGACTTTGTAAAACGTAAGGAAAGAAAGAAAGAAGAAATAATGAGTAACAACACGACTTTTGCCATAAAATAGTAACAAAAGCAACAATTAATGCTCTTTTACGGCAACAATAAAATCGTGTAGAGCATATCCAATAATTTGGGTTATTAACTTCGTCGGAGAATGTTCAATGTAATAGCGCGGGAACATATTAACATTTTCTTAACTTAATAACGTAATGAAGACTGTCTGTCGCATGCAGCGACGTATGCGTATTGCGTAAGTCTTTTACAATAGATTATTAAAGAGAAAATACCCTAATTATGGTTCAACAGCTTTACACAATCAATCTGTTACGGGAGGAAGGAAATGACAGCAGCACACGCGTCGCTTACCGTATTCTAACTCAGTGATTCGCGCATTACCGCTCACTAAGATTTTTATAGCATTATATCTGTATTAAGTTGTAGTGGAATACTAAGCGGAGTGGCATTCCGGGAACTACGTTTAATGAGAACTGACAAAATTTAAAGGAGAGGAATTAAAAATATTCATAATAATGTCCTCCAGATCGAATTTCAGTTACGGCGGTCAGTCTCGACGGAGACTAGTAATTTGTGCAGGACAAGATGTAGTGTATGCGCAAGCACAGGTGCACTCTCTATTCTCTGACTCTGATAGTCCGATGGGACCATTATCCGACACAACTGGAGGGAGATCAGGCGCAGGTCCAATGGCTTTCCAAGGCACGGGGTGAAACACCACCAACTTTTTGACTCAAGGGCTTCTACTGTGAATATCTTGGCAGAAAAACTGTCTTGGTTAGGCCCACCCGGGATTCATACCCAGTACTTTATGATGAGCATTAAGAAATTATGGTTACGAACATTAGACCAACGAGGCAGTAATGTTTATGGAATACAATACAGTTCTAATAAAATAAGAGTATCGATTTTTTTTTAAAAGAATGAGGGTGGCAAACGAGGACAGTCCACTTGTATCTATCCTCCAATATGAATCAAAATGTACATGTGTTGTCACCCCTGACGACTAAAAAAGAATGCCTCGTTCTCCATTCACCAAACAAAACACCAGCATTGAGCTACTTTTTTAAGCTGGTATTCTGTGAGCGTTTGCAAAGAAAAGAAAAGTATAATGGATGATCTTTTTTACCGTCTGGAAAAAAAGGTGTGAGAGTAGAAAACGGCGATATTTTATTTTTTAATTAAATATTTAATTAAAATCTATCGAAATTCAAATCATATTCACACTACTTTACGAACGACAATAAAACAACTTTTCACTTCGCAGGGTCACAGGGTTGGGTGGATATGATTTTAATTAATTTATTTATTTAATTCAAAACTTTTGTTTTTATTTTTTGTAAAATATCAGTGCCATAGGATTTTACTACGATCACTTGTTACACCCTATTTTATTCCAGACGTTAAAAAAGGATATCTATACTAGATATCCTTGCCGTTTATTTAATGTTTCCATGCAAAAATTATAGTCAAACGTCGTTAAAACTTTCTTCAATTCACTGGATGATGTTTCTATGGATTTGTTTATGTCATATAGGAGTTAGAGGCAAACAATTCCTTAGCTTTTCTAGATGTGTTAGTAATTCGGAATCCTGATAACACCTTGAGCCATACTGTGTATAGAAAAAAGACCCATACAGGTAGATATTTAAACGGTGATTCTCACCACCAACCTTCACAGTTAGCTACCGTGGGTAAATCTTTGTTTCAGAGAGTACGAGGGATCTGTGACAGTAAACACCTGGCTGCAGAGCTCCACCATGTCAAGCAAGTTTTGCATGACAACAAGCTTCGAGTCCCGCGCCTACGTCACAGTGAACGAGTGAAGCCGGCCACAGTCGAGCGTGTACCTGCTGTACTGCCATATGTTAGAGGAGTCACTGACAAGATTGGCTACATCTTGAAGCGGGCTTCCATCAAAACATACTTCAAGCCGCTGAAGAAAATTGGTCAGTTTTTACCATCGGTCAAGTGTAATGTCCCTCTGCAAGATGCAGGAGTGTACAAGCTTGATTGTGAATGTGGTCTCTCCTACATAGGACAAACTAAAAGATCAATAAAAACCCGCGTTAAAGAACATATAGCTGATGTGAAGAATCGACGCTCCGTCTCTGTCTGCAGTCTGCGAACACGTACAGGATCGCCCCCGTCACTACATCAGATTTGATAGACCGCAGATCCTCGCTTAAGAACACCGATTCCTTCCAAGGATGATTCGCGAGGCTATTGAAATCAAAAAACATCCTAATTTCAATAGAGAAGATGGCTGGGCGCTACCATCTGCTTGGGATCCTATAATAAATAAAATTATATCCCAACCCAAGCATACAACTGCAAGACTTCAAGATACCATAAGTTCATACTGCATAGATCGGAACAAAAGTTAAATTTTAATCTATGGTAACCGCGGTTAACTATGACATATGGACGTTGAACATCTCAGTCCTGCCCGTGACCATGAGTGCTGTAAAGCGTTCGAAACGTCGGGTATTTAAAAAGTTAAATATACGCGATAAATTCCGTAAAAACTAGTATTATTTCAATGTGTAGTGTTCGCGTAAATATAAGAAATCATTATGGATAAACAGATTCCGGTTCAGGACACAGAAAAGATTATAACACAATCAGTTACGATAATCATCTGGATTTAATTGAAAGACAAACCCTGGGACCACAACTTGGCTATGTATTGAAGACTGAGCTGACGGAAGTAATATCTACTCAGCCTCACACTTTCCGCTTCCTACTACGTTAATAATCATAAAGACATTATGATTTACAATGGGATTTCCTTCTTTCTCTCAAAGTTAGCTTTTCCGATTGTAACTTAAAACCCTAAAACAGGTAATTATCCTCATAAATGATACGGTATTGTAATTAAGGGAGTGGAAAAACATTCAAAGTGAGAGTTTAAATTTACGGTGCAACTATTATTTTTATACGTGGTAGAGCCACGCTTTAGCTATATTACGGTTGTAGCATGAATAGGTCGGCTCGACCGGGGTAGGACCACGCTCTCACAGAAAACCAGCGTAAAATAGCAGCTTAATGCTGCTGTGTTTCGTATGGTGAATGTAGAGAATTGGAGACCCGTTTTACTGGAATCGAGGCATTTCATATTAGTCCTCAAGGGTGACAACGCATCTGCATTTTGGTTCTTAATCCACTTTAAATGTAGATGTCTACGGGCCACAGCATCTACTTACCATCTGATGGACGGACTGTGTGCTCGTTTGTCACCCTTATCCTATAACAACAGGAAGGTTTCCATGTGAAGGCGGTGTAAAAGTATCCATAACCTCTCTCGTCGTATCGTAGGTGTCGTGAGGTGGTTATAGAATATGCCAAAAGGATCTTATGGTTTCCGAAAGATGGCGGTATAACCAACTCGTTTATAGTTAGCGTAAAATATCCAAACCGGCGACAAGAAACAGCGACAAAAGTGAAAAACGTCTTGTAGGTACTGCGATTGTAACGGGCTGATGATGAAGAAAATTAAGAATTAGAAAGTTAACTCACCATCCATTTCACGCAGTCCAAACAACCGGTCTGCGCTGCGGCGTGTATGGGCTGCATGCCATCACGAGCCCTCGCGTCCAATCGCCCGCCAGCCTCTAGCACCAAATATTTCAACACTGCCAGGTGACCTTCTTGAGCTGCCAGGTAAACTGGCGTGACGTCATTGTCCATCGCCGTATTAGCGCTGAAATAAAATAATAATAATAAATTAATTGATAGAAAAATATCACACAACATATACTTATAAATAATTATTATATTTTATTTATTCTATAGAATAAAGGTGGTAAACGAACACACACTTCACTTGTTGGTGGACGCTGTGGGCCCACAGATATTTACATCTATCCTCAATTCAAAATTAAAACGTAGATGCGTTGTCTCGCCTGAAGTCTAAGATGAAATGCCTCGTTACTATTTAAAAAGATCTCCGACTTTCTATGCCCATCAAACGAAACACAGCAGTATTAATCTGCTACTTTACGCTGGTATCCTGTGAAAGATTGGTGCTTTCCCATTCAGACCCATTCCTGCTACAGCCATAAGTAAATGTTAGTGCCTGTAGTGCATTTATTTTATTTTTTATTCATTATTTATTTTACCTATTCTTCACCTTTAATACGATCCCCGGAATCATTACAATTGATAATTAAAGAATGTTGAGTGCTGATTTATGGAAACCTGTATAAAGGAGAAGAAAAATATTTCGAGGATAAGTAAAGTGCTCCTACACGCACTAAAGCAGAACAGCAGACTAATTGCTTGCTGCTAAAGATGGGACGCTTTATGAAGCATCCCATCTTAGAGGATATAATTGCAGACTGTGGCATGTAGAATATATTTGCCCTCTACACCCTTTCAGACTGGAATTCAGCAGCGTAAGCGCTGCTATTGTGGTGGCAGCAATAAGTTCATACTTATAGACGTATATATATATATATATATATATATATATATATATATATATATATATATAAGACGGTAGTACCTACTCGGGCGGATTACTAGGCAGAAAAAGCGACGTACGACCTAAAAAATAAATGTTGTGCTGATACTTTTTTTAATCGTAGTGTGTAATATCTTCAAGATAAGTTATTTATATGTCGACGAACCATGAATCCAATCACACCTTTCTAAAATACTTGACTCTTACAAGGCTATTCAATGCAATTTTTATAACTTAAGTAATCATCTTAGATACCTATTAATTTAAAAGTAAATATCTTTCATTGTTCTACAATACGAGGTATACAATGCAGATGAATTCTAATGGATACTATTTGTCAATAATAGTTACTTAATAAACTTAGAAACTCTGTAAAGAATATTTCGCACTGTAAAACCAAAGACTTACGTAATCTATCTAATATAAATAATACAACATTACTGGCATTTGTGAGGACCGTTTGACTTATGCCCAATTTCTATATTCAAGAAACGCTTCGGCTTCCATTGCGATCTGTTTCTTTATTTAGAAAATATCACCGATTTGGATATTTTACATTCCACATAAATACAAGATAGTTATTCTATCCAGCGAAGGCCAAAATCTCTATAAAGCGTTTTTCTAAGTCGATCCTTAAGACAGTTAAGAGAAAGGATGATGTGTGCCCACATCATACTCAAACGTATGATACTTTAGTCTTTAAGTGCTCTATATTAAACTTTCATAAATTAAAGGTCCTCAAGGCGTTCGTCTGCCTTTGACACAAAAATTGTCACCGAAAACCGAGTATCAATCAACGGAAACAAAATTTTTTAGCGAAAAATTAGTTTGTGTTCTTTTCAATTTCCTTATGATTCGAATTTCGAATGTATACAGTCAAGGAAGGCTCAAATAAATATATACATTAAAATAATATATACATTTCTAAGTATATAGCTTGAATAACCGACAACCTCTGAGGAAACAAAATTCTCAAGTGGCAGCCTTCATTGTCGTATTTCCTCACTAGATGGAGTAACGACCTAGTAATGCATGCAGGAAGTGATGGATGCAAGTGGCAGACCGTGCTATTTGGCATTTTTGGGGAAGGCCTATGTTCAGCACTGGGTTTATGTGTATTATATATATATATATATATCTATATATATAGCATATATACCTTATATATAAAATGACATTAACCTGTATGTTCGGAAGGCGACTTTATTCGATACGCCTGTTGGCTCGCGACGTAAAATGGCGGGAATTGCAAATTTTGTGCTAACTTGCAAATTTTGCTATATTTTCACTTTGAGACAATATTTATGGATAAAACTTAGAGGGATTCTTATCGAATGTATAAACTATCGAATAAAATTATTTTTAGTTGCTAGAAATTGTAATAAAATTCATAAATTACCCTTTATAGCATAGTAGTAGTAGATACTTCACTTTTAGTCTAAAATTACTACTAATTTGAATTCTACACGTTTGTTTTTGGAGAAATCTATACGAAAATGTTTGGAAATATGTATATTTTTATGTTTTATGTGTTTCTATTCGTTACTCATACCAAAAATATATAAAAAAATAAAAAACGAAATTGATTTTTATATGTATGAGATTTGAAAATATTTCAAATATATTTTTGTGTGAATTTGAAATAAATATACGTCAAGTTATTTGAAATATGTTATAAAACTAGTTTTTACTTTTAATTTATACGCGTATTCCGTCTGTTTTTTCAATGGTGTTCGCGTAAATATAGATATTAGTTACATTTTACACTAAAAATAAATGAGAATTGAAAAATAGCACATTTTTGACCCAACCGCTAAAATGGGCCTTCTCTATTTCGAAGTACTTTTGGCACTTTTCACTTTTTATGCCACAAATTATATATCTACGTGTTTTTTTAATTACAAGGAATACACAAAAGTATAAAACTCACCTTTTTATTTCAAAAACACACAAAAACGGAGAAATCACTCAGAAATAGCTCACGCACTACGAAACCACCACGCACTGTACTGTTGTAAAAAGCCATTACGTCAGAATGATTTTTATGTTTATTTTTAATTCGAAATTGATAGATTATGGTATCAAATTAAAAAGTATGTCTTTGTCTATGTCTGTATTATACATTTCAGTATAAATTTGTCATAATTTTTAATGACAAACCTTTTTTTGTCGGGTTCGCGCTCATAAATTATTAGTGGAAAAATGTGTATAAATGTGTATCATTGCCGAGCGTGCGGAGGGTGTTGCGTTAGTCACATTTGTACCACTGTCGAGCGTACAGGAGACATATACAGCCATTTTTTTATTTTCGTTCGTCTGTCTGTCTGTGTGTCTGTACGGGTCTTCTGAATAGACAAACTTTTGTGATGAAAAATTACGAACAGGTAGCAAACAATGCCAGAAACTTTTTTCTTTATTCGAAAAACTTTGAGTTAAAAAAATATTCATAAAATTAATCTTTGACTATCTTAAATCTAAATAACGCTACATTACATAGATCATATCGAAGCGAAACTGGGACGAGTGGCAAGTTTATTATGAAACTAAAGTAATAATCGAACTTATATTCCACCTGATTGTGAGTAGCTACTGCACTCCATGGACCCTCCAGCCAACATTTTTTTATAGTTTAGGGTGACAAACGAGCACACAGTCCACCCAATGGTAAGTGGTTGCTGTGGCTCATAGACATCTACATCCACCCTCGATTACGAATCAAAATGCAGGTGCGTTGTCACCCGTGCGGACTACGATGGAATGCCTCGTTTCAAGTAAAAAAGGGTCTCCTTTCTCTACACTCACCATACGAAAGACAGCAGCATTAAACTATTATTTTACGCTTGTATTCTGTGAGAGCCGACCCATTCGTGCTACAACTATACTACTAATATAACTGCAGCATGGCTCTACCAGGTATTACATCAAACAAAGAAGGTTATATAGATGCGATGTCAACTGGAGCATCAAGATGGAACGCCTCACAGATTGTAACTTACAACACAGGAGCGGAACCTCTGCTAGTAGTATTTAGTGAGATTGGATTGGACGGCAGTCATATTTCGTCATTCGACCGAGGTAGGACCACGCCTCACAGAATACCGGCGTAAAATAGCAGCTGTTTTACGCTGCTGTGTTTCGCATGGTGATTGCAGAGAACCAGAAACCCTTCTTACTGTAAACGAGGCATTCCATCTTTTTCCTCAGGGGTAAAAACGCATTTGCATTTTGATTCTTAATCGGGGATAATCGTAGATGTCTATGCGCCACCGCAAACACTTACCATCAGGTGAACTGTTTGCTCGCTTGTCATCCTTATTCTATAAAACAAGGTCATGTGGTCACATGATAGGCTAATTGACATTATTAATATTGGTATAATTATAATTTTCTATATATTAATACGTATAGGGAAAACTACGTACTGTAGCAAATTAAGGCATAGCTAAAGATTATGGTAGAAAGAGTGCAGAAAGCTGAAATTTATATATAATATATGTTACAAATACAATAAAAAAAATGTACATTTTTACGTAAATACTGCCAATATTCCAGTGAATACAAGCGTATTATGTAAGTACTCTATAGTTATTAGTTCAAGAACAACTTCAAAACGCTTAAGTCTTTGGTCAAGCAGTCGCACAATATAAAGATTGTCGCCAAGAGATATTTTTGTGTGATTTCAAACATTCCTTTTTTAGTAGCGTGTATTGGGGATGGTGCAAGTATCAAGGCAAAAAACCGTTTCCTTTATATTTTATATTAGATAACTGTATTGTTTTTAGTTTGCTTAATATACAAACCCAAAAATAATACAAAATAGTTTTTTTCTATTTTAACATCGACATCCGACTTGTTACGTAATCGTTACGACTTCTGTAAGAAATATTATGCTGATATCTTTAATCGATTAAATCGACTCTAAGCCGACACATTTACCTTGCAAACACTCTCTCACGTTTCACTTTTATTTTCTCGAATCGTTTTCACTCGGGCGCGAACATCGCAACTCGAAGCGATGATGTCACAGGTAACGGTTTGAATTTTCGTAAGCAAGTCTTTTAACTCTACATGCATGTATGAATGTAAAGAAGTATTTTAATTCAGTTTTCCTACCTTACATCCACCCTCAATGCTGAACCCTGGTTATCAACACTTAAAAGTGTAATTAATAATTCCATAGATGCCGGAGGGTATCACATAGGTAAACGACTAGCACTTAGCCCCATTAGCCCCAGAGT